GGGGCTAATTTTTGTATTTTAGTAGAGACGGGGTTTCACCATGTTAGCCAGGATGGTCTCGATCTCCTGACCTTGTGATCCACCAACTTGGCTTCCAGAGTGTGGATTACAGGCGTGAACCCACCGGTGCTCGGCCTTTTTTTTTTTTTTGAGATGGAGTCTTGCTCTGTTGCCAGGCTGGAGTGCAGGGGTTTCAAGCATCTGTAGTTCCAGCTATTCAGGAGGCTGAGGTGGTGGTTGCAGTAGGCTGAGATCATGCCACTGCATTCCAGCCTGGGTGACAGGGTGTCTCAAAAAAAAAAAAAAGACTTCCAGCAGGTAGAAAGTCAGAAAGAACATAGTTTAGTTGAAAGGCAACAACTAGGTTTAATTAAAATCCATGGAATGCTTCATCCAACAGAACAATACACATTCTTCTCAAATTCATGTGGAACATTCACCATGATAAACCATGTGTGGACAAAAACACAACTTACCAATTTTCTTTTTTTTTTTTTTTTGAGACGGAGTCTCGCTCTGTCGCCCAGGCTGGAGTGCAGTGGCCGGATCTCGGCTCACTGCAAGCTCCGCCTCCCGGGTTCACGCCATTCTCCTGCCTCAGCCTCCCGAGTAGCCGGGACTACAGGCGCCCGCCACCGCGCCGGGCTAGTTTTTTGTATTTTTTTTTAGTAGAGACGGGGTTTCACCATGTTAGCCAGGATGGTCTCGATCTCCTGACCTCATGATCCGCCCGTCTCGGCCTCCCCAAGTGCTGGGATTACAGGCTTGAGCCACCGCGCCCGGCCTAGTTTTTTGTATTTTTTAGTAGAGATGGGGTTTCACCGTGTTAGCCAGGATGGTCTTGATCTCCTGACCTCGTGATCCGCCCGTCTCGGCCTCCCAAAGTGCTGGGATTACAGGCTTGAGCCACCGCGCCCGGCCACCAATTTTCAAAGAATATACATTATATAAAACATGCTCTCAGACCACCATGGTATTAATCTAGAAATCAGTAACAGAAGAATAGTTAGAAAACCATCAAACATTTGGAAATAAAACCCCACACAGTTCTAAACATGAATCAAAAAAGTTTCAAGAAAAATTAAATTTGGGCCAGGTGCAGTGACTCACGCCTGTAATCCCAGCACTTTGGGAGGCCGAGGCGGGCAGATCACCTGAGGTCAGGAGTTCGAGACCAGCCTGGTCAACATGGTGAAACCCTGTCTCTACTAAAAATACAAAATAAATTGGCCAGGCGTGGTGGCACACGCCTGTAATCCCAGCTACTTGGGAGGCTGAGGCAGGAGAACTGCTTGAACCCAGGAGGCAGAGGTTGCAGTGAGCCGACATCGTGCCACTGCACTCCAGCCTGGGCAACAGAGTGAGACTTGGTCTAAAAAAAAATAAAAATAAGAAAAATGTAACCCCTAGAGTGCGTCAGTACCTGGTAATGGAGGATAGGAGCACCTGATCAGCAAGGAACTATGGGAGCTCCACACCTCTTTCTCTCCTATGGCAGCAAAGAAACATTAGATTCCCCAGGTTTCCATTTTCCCAAGTGAGGAAACTCTCAACCAGATTGAGATTGAGGTTCTGATGCAAATGAGCTCCTCAATTCATTAACCCTGTCTCTAGAAACATAAGTCCTGACCTTCACAGACACTGTCAATATGCACCAATTACACTCAGTACACCTATATTACAGATGTGAAACTCAAACGTAATGTCTAAAAACACACCCAAGGAAACCACAGTTAAAACCTCAGACATCCTTCCCTCTTCCCCTAACAGCATCTGCCTGTGGATCCTCAACTTCCAAGTGCTCTGCAGTTTCTCTCAGTACAAAGGGATCCTTCCATGGCGGGCATGAGTAGCTGGCAGACCTGTAGGGGAGACTCCCCAGGAAGAACCAATTGGGCCTTCAATGATCTTTCTTTGCAGGCTCAAGGGTGGACTTAGCTTGGAAACATCTCAGGCCTCTGGTCCCCAGTTGCAAGGCTCTGGAACACTACTAGTAATTTTAAATGAGACAATTTAATTAAAATCTTAAGGACTGTTCCTTAAACATCCAGCAGAGGGCCTGGCACAATGGCTCACGCCTGTAATCGCAGCACTTTGGGAGGCCGAGGCGGGTGGATCACCTGAGGTCAGGAGTTTGAGACCAGACTAGCCAAGTTGGTGAAACCCCGTCTCTACTAAAAATACAAAAAAATTAGCTGGGCATGGTGGCACGTGCCTGTAATCCCAGCTACTCAGGAGGCTAAGGCAGGAGAATCGCTGTCAATATGCACCAATTACACTCAGTGCACCTACATTAGAGATGTGAAACTCAAATGTAATGTCTAAAAACACACCCAAGGAAACCACAATTAAAACCTCTGACATCCTCCCCTCTTCCCCTAACAGCATCTGCCTGTGGATCCTCAGCTTCCAAGTACAGAGGTTGCAGTAAGCCAAAATTGTGCCACTGCACTCCAGCCTGGGCAACAGAGTGAGACTTGGGCTTTAAAAAAAAAAAATCCAGCAAAATTACTTAAACACAGTGTTTACGTATAAAGGAAGCAAGAGGCCGGGCGTGGTGGCTCATGCCTGTAATCCCACACGGTGGATCACGAGGTCAGGAGATCGAGACCATCCTGGGTAACATAGTGAAACACCATCTCTACTAAAAAAAAAAAAAAAAAAAAAATTAGCTGGTAGCGCTTGCCTGTAATTCCAGCTACTCAGGAGGCTGAGGCAGGAGAATCACTTGAACCTGGTAGGCGGAGGTTGCAGTGAACTGAGATCGTGTCACTGCACTCCAGCCTGGTGACAAAACTAAACTCTGTCTCTAAATAAATAAATAAATAAATAAAGGAATGAAGGAAGGAAGAAAATTTTAGGGCATTTAACAAGAAAACCCACTATTGCTTTCAGAAAATGAGAATGTCGGGCAGGGCATAGTGGCTCATGCCTGGAATCCTAGCACTTTGGGATGCTGAGGCTGGAGAATCGCTTGAGCCCAGGAGTTCAAGACCAGCCTGAGCAACAGCCAGACCCCATCTGTTAAAAAAGAAAGAAAGAAAGAAAGAAAATGATAATGTCAGTCAATTATTTCCATGGCAAGAAATAGTTTACTAAAGTATTACTTATATCTGAGTGCCTCTAGGCGTTGCAAGTTTAAGTGCTGGAATACCATCTGAAATTATCAAACTAAAAGAACAGACCTCAGAAACATATTCCACGTGCTCAGGGGAAGAACAAAGAATTTTTAATAAATGTAATACTGAGATTTTTTTGTTTCCTGAGATTCATTTACTTTTTGCCTCTTTGGAAATATTTGGTACTGTCTCTCAAGTTCTTCTGATAACATATATTTTATATTTATTGGAAAAATGACATTCAAATGAATAAATCTTTTCAAGGTCATAAACCCAAGGCAGGACAGTGCCAATCTGAAACTGTGCTGAAAACATAGATCACCCACGAAAGTTTACGAAAAGGAACCTCAACCCAAAGGAGTTCCCATAGGATGTCTGTGCCCTGGAAAGATACCAGAATAAGGGGCACAGCATTTTATGCAGAGTAGTTCCAAGTGAATAATTTTTCTGATTTTTTTCCTCTGATGTAAAATATCCACAAACAAGAAATCTTTTAAAAGAGGCATCAATTGGCAAAAAAGATTATTAAAATACTGCGTGTGTTTGAAATGCACCAGACAGGACAAGGAGTTGGTGACGATGTTTTCCATTGGAGAGGAGAAGTAGGCGTTTGGGAATACGGGGAGGGATCTGGAAATCTAGGGATTAATGGCCCGCCGTGGGAGGAGCTAGGCTGGGGGACAGGGTAGTGGATTTGAGACTCTGCTTCCAACATCTTTGGAAGACTCAGGGGGAAACCACCTTTGGGAATAAAGAAGGGACTGCGGACCCTACAGACTGCAGCTCCTCCCACTCAAACCAAACAGACAAGGCGGGATTCTCCCCATGACCCTTCCGTGGTCCCTGCACAATCTGGGAAAGACTCGGGGGGCGGGCGCGGAGCTGCCCAGCGAGGGCTCCGGGGCTGGGACCGCAGTCACCGCGCAGGGACGGGACCGGACTCTTGGCGTCCCAGCTGCCAGCCCAGCCCCACACTGCGGCCAGAGGTGACTGTGGGAAGGCCCGGGTCTGGCGACCACGGCCGGTTCCAACTAGGCCGGCCCTGCACACTCACCATTTTCCGGCCTCGGGGGTGTCCCGGTGTTGTCCCTACGGTTCACGGAGCCAGCGCACGGTACAGCGCATCCGATGCAGGGGCACAGCAACTCGACGCGTCAAGGTGCCAGGAAGACCCCAAGCTGAGCACAACCCGATCGCATAGTGACGTAACACGCATTTGCGAGGGGTAGTCGTACCCCTCTTTCCGGCGGCGCCCCTGATTGGACAATTAATACAGTCCCGCCCCCTTTTGTCCGAATGACAGCTAGGCGGCTGGTCTAGTGGCTAGGCAGATCTCGTTTCCGCCGGTGGGACGGAACTGGTGCCCTCCGTGGACAATTGTGTTGAAGCAGAAATTGTTCCGGATCTCGGGTCGGACACGGAAGTCTTCCTGCAGTGTTTCTGGATGCGGGGACAGGGATGCGCAGGAATTCCAGTCTCATTTTCCAGATGGAGCGACCCCTCGAGGAGCAAGTCCAGAGCAAGTGGTCGTCTAGTCAAGGCCGCACAGGAACAGGAGGGTCTGATGTCCTCCAGGTACCAGGGGCTTGGCATAATGTTGTAAGGCCTCTCGTGGAATAGTGACCCTTGTTTATAAACAGACGGTTACTCCATCATGTGTAAGAAAAAGTGTGGGTGCATTTTAATCTTTGACTATAACAGCGTTGAGGCGTCCACCTTTCTTTTCCCCACCTCCACACATTTGGCACTTTAGAAAAGGAACCTCAAGCCAGGGCTTGGTGGCGCACACCTGTAGTCCCAGCTACTGCGTGGTGGGGGTGGTGGGGGAAGTTGGGGGGTGGGTGGGCTGAGGCGGGTGGGTCATGTGTCTTCAGGAGTTTCAGTTCAGTCTGGGCAACATGGCCAGAACCCATCCCAAGAAAAAAAAAAAAAGGAAAGAAAGAAAGAAAAAAGAATCCGTAGGACACCCGAGCACTTGGCTCTGGTGGTAAATTGCAACCCTAACCTGGGCACAGGGACTCTTTTCAGACCAATCACGATCTATGAGACGTGTTCAGTAAACTGCATTTTACTGTGGAAGGAAATGGTTTCTTTTTGTTGTTTGTTTGTTTTTAGTTTAAGCATGTTTTTATTGCTTTTCATTTTCATTTTTATTTTTGTAGATTTATGGTTACAAATGCACTTGTGTTACATGGATATATTTCATAGTGGCGAAGTCTGGCTTTTAGTGCACCCATCACCCAGAGTGTATATTGTACCCAATAGGTAATATTTCATCCCTCATCCCTTCTCTCTCTCCAACCTATTGGCATCTCCAGTGTCTATTATTCCACTCTGTATGTCCATGTTTACCCATTGTTCAGCTCGCCCTTATATGTAAGAAGATGCAGTTTTTGACTTTCTGTTTTTGTTACCGCACTTAGGATAATGGCCTCCAGTTCCATCCGTGCTGCTATAAAGTGGAAGGAAATTTATCTCAAATAAGTTTTCTTTTTTTTTTTTTTTTTTGACAGAGTCTCGCTCTGTTGCCCAGGCTAGAGTGCAGTGGCCGGATCTCAGCTCACTGCAAGCTCCGCCTCCCGGGTTTATGCCATTCTCCTGCCTCAGCCTCCCGAGTAGCTGGGACTACAGGCGCCGCCACCTCGCCCGGCTAGTTTTTTGCATTTTTTAGTAGAGACGGGGTTTCACCGCGTTAGCCAGGATGGTCTCGATCTCCTGACCTCGTGATCCGCCCGTCTCGGCCTCCCAAAGTGCTGGGATTACAGGCTTGAGCCACCGCGCCCGGCCTCAAATAAGTTTTCTAGAGTGTCCCTACAGAACTTTGAAAGGCCAAGAGTCCAAGACCAGCCTGGGCAACATAGCGAGATCTCATTTCTAAAAAAATTTTTTAAATTAGCTAAGCATGGTGTTCACCTGTAGTCCTAGCTACTTGAGAGGCTGAGGCAGGAAGATCTCAAGGCTAAGAGTTTGAGGTTACAGTGAGCCAAGATTGTGCCACTGCATTCCAGCCTGGGAGAGAGACAGACTGTCTCTAAATTTTTTTTAAAGTAGAAACATTTTCATTTTTCCCATTATAGAGGAGACAGTGTAATCTTGAAAACTCTCATGATCCACCCTTCTTGTAGCTCTGTGTGTACAGGTAGATGAAGGGGGAGCAATGCTTCCAAGATTGTCCCATGTGATGTTTGGTTCTAAATTGCTGAAACTCACAAAATGCATCCTCTTGTTTCTAATTAGATGCAGAACAGTGAGCACCATGGACAAAGCATCAAGACTCAAACTGTAAGTGAGATCGCTACCTGTCAGTGTGGCGACCTTCCTGGTTTATAATGACCATTTGGGCCTGTGCTTCTGTGACCTCTTTGTGGGGGGTCTTTGGGGTCTTTGTGAAGCATCAAGACACTCCCATAGTCAAGGCCAATAACCAGACTCTCAGGTGTGTCCTGTTCATTGCCCTCACCCTGTACTTCCATTGTCCCTTACCTTCATTGGTCATCCCAACATAGCCACCTGCATCCTTTGGAATATCACATTTGAGCTGGGTGCAGTGGCTCATGCCTGTAATCCTGGTACTTTGGGAGACTGAGGTGGGAGGATTGCTTGAGTCCAGGAATTGGAGACCGGTGTGGGCAATGTAGTGAGACTCTGTCTCTTCAGAAAATAAAAAAAATTGGCTGGGTGCAGTAGCTCATGCCCGTAATCTCAGCACTTTAGGAGGTAGGGTGGGTGGATCACTTGAGGCCAGGAGTTGGAAACCAACCTGGCCAACATGGTGAAACCTCATCTCTATTAAAAATATTTTTAAAATTAGCTGGGCGTGGGGGTGGGGGGCACACCTGTAATCCCAGCTACTTGGGTGGCTGAGGCACGAGAATTGCTTGAATCTGGGAGGAGGAGGTTGCAGTGAGCTGAGATCGCGTCACTGTACTCCAGCCTGGGCAACAGAGTGAAACTCTGTTTCAAAAATAAATAAATAAATAAAGATAAAAAGTTAGCTGGACATGGTGACATAGTCCCAGCTTCTTGGGAGGCTGAGGCAAGAGGATGGCTTCAACCTGAGACTGCGGTGACCTATGATGGTGCCACTGCACTCTAGCCTGGGCAACAGAGCTAGACCCTGCCTCCAAAAAACACAAAAACCACACATTTGGAGTTATGTTTACTTGTTTGCATAGTTTGGACAAAACGATCACTGTAGTTCTGACCTTCCAGGTAACCATGCAAGAGACGGATATGGCACTGGTTAGTATCAGGGGTACCTAATTCCATCATTGCTGTCAGTTCCCTGATCGAAGTGACTCTGTAATCCCAACACTTTGGGAGGCTGAAGTGGGAGGAATTTCATGGGGAATGACTACAGCCTTCATGCATGTAGATACATCTGAGCCTGAATATGTCATCTTCACATAAAACTACGATTTGGTTATTGACTGTTCTGTGAATCCTGGGTTCCTTGGCTCATGGGAGCTTCAGTGTGGCTTTTCTGGCCAGGAGCTTGCCTGACATTTTCAACAATCCAATCCTTAAGTTCAGCATGCTGGTATTTTTCAGTGTCTGGGTCACCGTCCTTCTTGTCTACCAAAACCCCAAACGGGGAAGGTCTCAATCCTGGCCTCCACTGATTTGCTGCTGCTTCTCTGTCTGTAGATGCTATGCTGTTCCTGTTCCTGTTCGTTGCTTTTTTTTTTTTTTTTTTTGAGACAGTGTTCTTGCTGTGTTGTGCAGGCTGGTCTCAAGCTCCTGGCTTCAAGCAGTCCTCCTGCCTCAGCCTCCCAAAGTGCAGGGATTACAGGTGTGAGTCACCACACCTGGCCTGAGTTTTCAGTTTTTGACAGTTCTCAGTATATGTGGTGGCAAGCATTTGGACTTTAATACTGAGAAGTTCCATTATTATTATTGTTATTATTATACTGTATTACTATTACTATTATGTGCTGTCGCCCAGGCTGGAGTGCAGTAGCAAGATCACAGCTCACTGTAGACTCGACTTCACAGGCTCAAGCAATCCCCCTGCCTCAGCCTCCCTAGTAGCTGGGACTAGTAGCTAGGACTAGGACTAGGTGTGCGCCACCATGCTTGGCTAATTTAAAATTTTTTTTTTTTTTAGTTGGGCGTGGTGGTGCACATCTGTAATCCCAGCTATTTGGGGAGGCTGAGGCAGGAAAATTGCTTGAACCCGGAAAGTGGAGATTGCAGTGAGCCGAGATTGTGTGACTGCACTCTAGCCTGGGTGACAGAGCGAGACTCCATCTCAAAAAAAAAAAAAAAAAAATTAAAAATGTTTAAATTTTAGAGACAGGATGCCCCTATGTTGCCTAGGTTGATCTTGAACTCCTGGACTCAAGTGATCCTCCCACATCAGCCTCCCAAAGTGTTGGGATTATAGGTGTGAGCTAGTGCACCCGGCCAATTTCATTATTACTTATGAGCCATATGAGTTTAGACAAGACTTTGTGCTCTCCATACTTAACTTTTTTCATTTGCAGGATGGGAGGTATGATTGGGTGGGGCTAATCAAATGAAATACTAGTGATTATGAAATCACATTAGTCACCAAAGTGATATGCAAACATAAATTATTGAAATATTGAATAAAAATAGGATTTTATTTGTTCTTTAGTAAAACACAAAGCTGTTCATTGTTTTTTCTTTCCTAACATGTGCTGGAAATCTACCATATGGAAATGACACTTGTGAATGGTCATGGACTTTTAGGCCTTTGCTGATCATTAAAATAAAAATCTTCCTGGCCAGGCGTGGTGGCTCATGCCTGTAATCCCAGCACTTTGGGAGGCCGAGGCGGGTGGATCACCTGAGGTCGGGAGTTCAAGACCAGCCTGACCAACATGGAGAAACCCTGTCTTTACTAAAAATACAAAATTGGCCGGGCGTGGTGGCACATGCCTATAATCCCAGCTACTAGGGAGGCTGAGGCAGGAGAATTGCCTGAACCCGGGAGGTGGAGGTTGCGGTGAGCTGAGATCGTGCCATTGCACTACAGCCTGGGCAACAAGAGCAAAACTCTGTCTCAAAAAAACTAAAAAAATTAAATTAAATTAAATTTTAAAAATCCTATTCGAGGGTCTCAAATACACGTTTCTTAAAGAGATAGGAAAACCATTAACAAAATATTTAACAGAACACTTCTGGTCCACCAATAACCACTTCTCAAGCAGACACCAGCTGTGTTTGCTATATACTTCAATTTAATTGTGACAGTATCTACCTG